CGTTGGCTGCTTGCAGTGCGTACACTGGAAGGTGTTGGCGGTAGCCTCTGTGTAAAGTTGGCACGGTTTCTCGAAAGTTTGCCCTTCCTTTGGGATGGTTACTGGTTGTGCAACAACCTGTCTACCTCAGCAAGTGAGTACGTAATCGGTTAGGAGATTGCAATATACTGACTACTAATTTCGTTCGTGAGGTCAGGTTAACGTGCCTGGGTAGTGGCTGTGTGGGTTAAAGCTATTGTAACTGTGTTGAATGTGTTCAGTGCTGTTAATAAAGGCAGTCATTCAGCATAAAGCCGTCCACTGCAGTTACCATTTCTGTAGTAAATTCATATTTTAAAATAACAGTTTTCTTAAAAATTCTAGATAGAGTCCTGGCAGCTTGGAAATGGATTGGGCTAAACAAAACCGGAGTATTCATTCAAAAGCGTGAGTGGTAAGAATAGATCCTGCACCTTGAAGTGTAGAGTAGGAAATCAAGCATTGAGCTAAACAGGCCATTAGCAGAGAAGTGATGGGTATGATTGCACAGCTGAGGAGGTAAAGTAGGCCATGAGTTTGCGCTGTAGAAATAATTCTGGAATAAGAGCGTACTTATGCATGTAACTTTTGAAGATGCTAGAGATAAAGATCTTGAGATGTCGGATGAAGGAAGTTGAGATAAAGACTTAGGGTCTTAAAGACTAGTTTTTGGGCAACCCTTGCTTGGAATCTTTTTTAACCCTGTGAAGTTCTAAAATGACTAACTCCAATAGTGCTGTACTGGGTCTGGCAGCAACGGAGTTAACTTTCTTCATAGCAGTTGGTATGGTGCTGTGTTTGTGGCTAAAACAGTGCTGATAACACACCAGTGTTTTGGCTGTTGCTGAAGGGTGCTTGCACTGCATGAAGGCTTTGCTTTCTCTTTTTTGTTACTCTGCCCTCCACTCCCCTTGGGTAGGTTGAGGGTGTGCAAGAGATTGAAAGGGAACACAGCCAGGACAGCTGACCCAAACTGGCCAAAGGCATATTCCTTACTGTATAATGTCATGCTCAGCAATAAAAAATGGGATAGAGGAAGAAGAAAGGGGGAGTGGTGGCTTGCAGGGTGGGTGTTGTTCAGAGACTGGCTGGGGCACTCATTTGCCTATGGTAGGTGGTGAGCAATTTCCTTTGCTTCACTTGTTTTTTGATTTTGTTTGTTTTGCTTTGGGGGTTTGTTTGTTTGTTTGTTTCCTTTTTCTTTCACTTATTAACTGTCTTTCTCTTGACCCATGAGTTTTCTTGGTTTTGCTCTTCCAGTTTTCTGCACCTGGTGCAGTTCTTCATCAGATCACGAATTAATCTGTTGAGATTAAGTGATGTACTGGATATGTGAATGCGGACTGCCTCAAGAGTAGATTCTTTCAAGGAATAATACGGATATGAGAGAGTATAATCTGCATCGTGGCAGCAGAACCTAAAATATTATATTTGATTCCAAGAGCGGAGATGTAAAATGTTCCTTTCCACTTGGAAGGGATGAGGAACTCCAGATGTGTTCACTGGACTTCTGTGGACATGATGTTTTTGCACCTTTGTTGGCTGGGATCCTTCCTGCCTGCTACTAGTAGCTAGTGAAGCTTGAGAGAACAGGTCTGGTGTGATGGCCAGCAAATTTTACCTATTCTGCATTTTAAATCTAATACTAGTTTACATGCATGTCTTGACTTCAGTAGAAATTCCACTGGAGACTTAGGTGAAATACTTGATTAATTTTTTCCTGCAGACCTGCACCTCTGACGGACTGGTGCTGTGGGAAGAACTGAAAACAATGAGTAGGAAATGAAAGAAATAATCCATCAAAAGTGTAAATGGACGTGGTTTATAGTTAAGTCTCTGGATTTGGAGCTTCGACAGCTATGTTTCTTGTCACTTTTGGTACCAAATTTGAGCTATTGCAGGGGGATTATGATTTTCTTAGCTCCACCAGATTTTAGTTCAGGAAGAATTAGGATTTTTGCTTGGACTTGCCACAAGATTTCTTCATGCTTATCTCATTTCCCTTTTAATAGGCAAACCTACTCTAGGGTAAGATAGAACCTTTTTAAAAAGATTTTTGCTTTTCTTTTTCTGTTGTTGTTCTTTTTTTGATACAAACTTACAGAGAGCAAGGTAAATGAAAAGACAGTAACCAGACAATGTTTCAGATAAACTAATGAAACAGAATTAAGTGACTTCCGATGTGATTCTTTAGAATTCTGATTACTGCTGTTTGTAATGCTTTCTAATGGTGCTTCTGTCAAGTTACAGTTTTTACTGCCAAAGTTAGCTCTCAAATTTTTAACTGTGAAATGACACATAGCCATCAAATCAAAATATATTTTCTAAAAATGTCATATTTCTTTTCAGTACTGTTAAATTATGACGGCGTTTTGAGGTCCTAATCAACAATGGAGGAAACGGATAGGGAAGCAGTTGCAACAGCTGTTCAGAGAGTAGCAGGGAATCTTCAGCGGCCTGATGGATAAAGTGGAGCAGTATCGCAGGAGGGAAGCTCGTAAGAAGGCTTCAGTAGAAGCTCGACTCAAGGTACAAAGTTTGATAAACCTGAGTGTCTGTGATGCAGCATGAATGTACTTTCTTTTTTTATCCTTCTGGTTTTTTTTTTTCTACATTTTCACCAGATAGAGCAAAAATTAAAGTCCATGGTTTAAAACTGTGTCCAAACCAGAAACTTTGCATCCTGAAAGTAACACAAACATGCTGTATCTCTTACTGAAATTTTATTCAAGCATTTCAAGTGTTCTGATGTCTTGTAATTTCTACAGTTTATCCATGAACATCTACCCTCGTGCTGTGTAGCTTGTCAGCCAACAAACCTTTGTCTTAATGATTGAATACTGACCTTGAAACAAAAAATTGATGATTACATCTGAAAAAGATCAGTCAGTTTAGTCTCTGATTTGTACATGGGTTTATGGAAGATAACTAAAATCTGTCACGTTCTTGTCTATTGTGGACATGTACCCCATGGTTTTCCCCTTCCTTCATGTGTGTACATGTGAGTACACACACGCACATGCACGCACACAGACTTAGCCTGAAGTATGAGTAAGGTCATCCTATGTTTAGTGTCTGTATGTTACTGAGTTTTGTGTTCTCTTCCGTTAGTGGTACTCACTAGCCAACAGTAATCTTAGAGCACTATATGAACTTATTGGAGTAGAGCCTTAGAAGAGTGTTTAGGGAAATATTTTTGGGTTTACCATATCAAAATGGCTGGTATACACTGTATCTAATCTTATATTTCAGATTAAATTAGTTTGGTTTACAACTGCTTGATGGCTCCTTTGTGTGAGTCTGCATGAAGTAGAAGAGAGCCTGGCTTCTTTCACAGTGAATAAGTCTGTTAGCAAATTACACGTTAATTATGTCTGTAGCATGGAGACAGAAATTTTCCTAGTGACTCGGACTGGGTTTTCAGATTGAAGGCAGGAAGCATATAACAGAGTCTATTAATAATGGATCAGCTGTTTAGTTACTGTGATCTATTTAGAATATATGAGCACAGTCATTTGCCTAGTGGCTGCTTCTATAAACAGTGATGATGAAACATAACTTCGTAAGTTTTGTAAATGCCTAAATCCATTTTACAGCTATGAAGTTTTCTTGTCATTTTTCTGAAGTTACCTTAAAGTCAGCCATCTATAGATGGTCAGAAATACCTGTTCCAAAAAGAAGTACAATACCTCTTAATGCATTCAGGATGCATTCCTGAAACAGGTGATGGTTAGTGATGCAATGGATAGCAAAGCAGTTTTTCCCATAAGAATTACTATAATGTATGGGAGCACAGAGAGGATGTAAGAAATACTCTTGCTCTGTATTTAAACTGTCTATATGTATAGTGTGGAAGATGGAGAGATAGGGTCATCAGGATCATCAGCTGGAGAAGCTGCTGACTTGTCACGTTGGATCACTGTTGAAAAACCTCAGCTGCTTCATCCGTGTGAATAAACACATAGTAAATCTTTTAGTGTGAACATGTTGGTGCTTCTTTCTGACTGGATATGCTTTCTTCTTTCTCATTGCTTTCTTCGGATGAACCAAGATTATCACGTCAGTCAAGGGTGAAGGGTAGAAAACCAGGGTAATAGTTGCCTGTCACTTCCAGGAATGAAGCAGCGGAGATCTGGAGTGGTGTTCTGCCCCAAAAAACAGCCTCTTCTCCAGTTGATTATCCTACTCCTCTCTCTATATCCTCTCCCAAAGATTTCATTATGTCCATTTCTTGCATCCTTTTCTGCATTGCTTCCTGTGTTATATAAATTCTTACTGGAAAAACTGCTTTGAAATGTGTCAAACTCATCTGCTTCGTGTGTGAGACTGATGGTGGTTAGTGAAGCAGTATTTTTAGGGATTGGTAGCAGAACTCTGAAACCATGGGTGGATAAGCACCAGCTAGCAGCAGGGTAGGCTGGTGCTTCTGGGCTCTGCGATCCAAAATGTAGGCAAAGAGCTGCTTGGACTCTTTTTCAGAGCCTGAAGTTATGAGCGTTGACAGCCATCTTTGTGCGCTTATTCAGTCAATGGGAGAGCAGGTTTTAGTTTTCTCCCACCCTGAATAAATACTGTGTACATATCCTAGGAGAGTTCCTAGGTCATGGGTTTTCCTGAGTATAAATATGCTTGAATCCTCTACCTTTTGATTCTTAGCTGCTGCGTAACCATGAAATTGAACCATAGGGCACTAGGAAGACCAGGCAGCCACAGTCCTGGTTGCATGGTTTCATGTTGAGGGCTGTCACTTGAAAAGAGATACAAGTGAAGTTGTGAGCCCTTTTTCCTAGGATGGGTTGGTTTTGTTTTCATTTTTTTAACACAGTGATGGTCAGTCCAATCTAAGGTGAATCTGCATTCCAGGAAGCAAAGCCCACAGTGCTAGGACATGCCTTGCTCCCCAGCCCCCTTCATTCCCTCCACTGTCCCCAGCTGACTATTAGAAGACAAACTGAGCATGGGTGGGTGTCTGGTTTTAGAATTTTCCTTGGTTGTTTGTGTTGGTGATCAAGATTAGTGATTGTTGCTGTTTAACTTAAAGTTTCTGTAAAAGTTAAAATGGTAAAAATTTGAATATGTAATACTTGGAAGATCTGCCTCAGAAGAAATGGAAATATAAAGTCAGAAGTATTGAACATCTAATGGTCATGTGTTTTTTTTAAAATACTTTATGGTCAGCTTCAGAAGATTGTGTTTGAGTATCTTAGTGAATTTCAGTATCCTAATTACCTCAGTTCCTGTAGGGGAAAAATGTGTTAATGCAGCAGTTCTGTAAATTGATATTGTATAAAAATGCCTTACCACTGCTTATTTGTACTGACTCTGACAGGAAAATACATTTTTATTGATAAAATCAGCATGTTATAATTTGAAAGTACATAAATAGTGGCAGTTTAAGAATTACAGCATTTTTCTGGGACTTTCCGAGTGCTTTTAAAACACAGTAAATGTTGTTCATAGTTACCAGGATTTCCTCTTTGGCTTCTAGTATCAAACAAAAAGTTCCATGACTGCCCAAGCTTTTTTGGCCTTAAAAGTACGGCAAAAAATGTTTTTCACGCGTAGCAAAACCATTAGTGCCTCATTTCTTTACTGGTTACTTCAAGTCCTTGAGATACTCAACTGAGATTTCAATGATGTCTTGCCTTTGGCTTGTCTTTTGAAGTCTGTTATTTCCAGTTTCTTTTTCCACTCACCTGATCTCACTTTAGCCACAGATTTTTAAAAATACTTATTTAAAAAACATGCTATGGATCTGATCTGATTTCTTTCACTCATACAGGCACTGTAATGCATGTTCTGTAAAGTGTCTGGACCATCAAATGATATTCGGAACTAATAGCCTATTTGAAGGATCATTATTTCAAGTGTCACCTGTCACCAGAGTTATCTATATCAATAACCTCTCTTCATGCCAAAATAATCTAGTAGTTGGATTGTTGGTCTGGTTGTTGATGTTTCACAGTGTGGAAATGTTACTCAGTTTGGGTTTTTGTTGGTTTTTGTTTTGACTGAATTTCTTTTGATTTTGGGGAGTTTCTGGCACAACAGGCCAGAGGGAGTTTTTTAGAACATTTCAGAATGTTTTGGGTTTGTTTTTTTTAACATTTTCATTTGCCAGTCAAAATTTGTAATTGCTTTAGTAAAATGCTTTGTGAATCTGTACATACCAAGCATTCTGTTGAAAGGTGTGGATCAGCTTTCTTCCAGTATCTCCCTTGGAAATTAATTTATGAAGGAAGCGCAAATAAATCTCATTCTGCCTTCCCATAATCCTGGTTTAGTATAGATTTATAAAGGTGATGATGCATCTGCCTAAGCTATGTTAGCTTTGTGGGTGAACCAGTTGTATCTAGGTCCTTTAAAACTGAGTACAACTTCAGAACTTCAAAAAAAGAATGTGTGCACACACACAGTAAGTTACACATTTGTAGTAAGCTGTAATACTACCTTTTCAGTTTTTTTTTCTCTGAAAAATGTTAGATACTGAAATGAAAATTATTTCTTGACAAATGTTGGAAATACAGAATTTATAATGATTGATATGAGTTCTTTCTTTGTCTTTTTGTTTGTCTTTTAAGGCAGCAATCCAGTCACAGTTAGATGGAGTACGAACAGGTTTAAGTCAACTTCACAATGCACTGAATGATGTGAAGGACATTCAGCAGTCTTTGATAGATGTCAATAAGGACTGGAGACAGAGCATCAACACCATAGAAAACCTCAAGGATGTTAAGGATGCTGTAGTGCAACATAGCCAACTGGCAGCTGCAGTAGAAAATCTTAAGAACATCTTTTCAGGTAATCTAATGTTCTTTCTATAATCCATCGCGTACTGAAAGCACTTTAAAATGGTACTAACAGCTGTAAGGTTATCAAGTATATGTCGAGAACTTTAAACCTCTGGAAGTGAAGAATTAAGTAAGAATCACCTACACATCATGTTCAGGGAAGTAGCTGGTAACCATTTAATATATATCGGGTCTAAACTGTGTTGTAAGAGCTTCTAATCTGACCTATCTCATCACCAAACACAAGTCACAAAGAAGCTTCTTGCTAGCAATCAGTAGCAGGGATCACATGTTTAGTATAAAAGATTGTAATACGCAAGCAGCACGTACAGAAGGAAAATCCTGAAAGAACTGGAATGTTGCCAGCAACTTGGGCACGTGCAGCAAGCCTCTTGGTTAAAAATAATCTCAGATGATGTTAGGAAGTGAAAAATTTTGCAAACAAAGGCAAAATATGAAACAGCAAGATCTCCAGTCAAAGATTCCCTGGCAGTCTTTCTCATACAACAGTTAGGAGCCTAAAGGTTTTCCATTAATATTACAAGCGTTGGTATAAACTATATGAAGTTGTTTCAGATGTGCCCAGTCCTTGCTTCAGAATCAGGCAGCACAATCACAGAAACCAACTCATGCATAAAGAAGTTATACATGGGAGACACTACTTCCTTGCACAGCTGCGCAACTAGGAAAGTTTGAAAAGTTAAATAAGATTAATGTGATATAATGGATACTGTAAAGAGAAAGAAAATGGGATTACTTCTGCCCTTTCATGCAGCCTTTTTGGTGCACATTTCATTCTGTCTTGAGTGAGGGTAAATTCCTTGCCAGGGCTTTTCTGCTTGGGAGTAATTTTAAGAATTTTACCCCTGTGATGGGGGCTAAACCTATCATACCCCTTTGATTTCATTTAAAGAGTCTTTTATGTCCCCTTCTCTCCTGAGAGTAACTCCTAAAATGTACCTGTAAAGAAAAATTGTTTCCCAGTCATACCAGGTTGATTTGTTTAACCTCTGTAAGAGTGTATCTAACTGCTACAGTACCAAACTGGAATACAGTGTACAACTTAAAGAAAAAGAGTAGTATTTCTATTTACATGCAATGTCCAGCAATAAAAAACAAAGACCAATGAAATTACTTTAGAGGTGTTGTTTTCTTTTATACTGATGAATGCAATTGAGAAAATAAGCCTTTCTGGCATTCTGAGGGGTTTTAGTGTGAAGCATCTCCCCCCCCCAGGGTTGTTAAACAGTGTAGTTGATGATAACTTCATTCTGAGCAAAACAAATGTTTTATAAACCAAGAGGTTTTCATCATGATTAATCATTGTGTGTAACTGTCTTTTCCAACCTTTTTTTGGGGGTGCTGGTTTTATCACGAGCTGCCTTTTTTGTAGTGACAATTTTTCTACTCAGATTTTCAGTTCTTCCCCCACAGGATCCTAATCCTCTTCTACAGTATTCCTCAAGTACTGAAAAATAATAAAGAAAAAAAAAAATCTCCTATATAGTTTAGCAGCATGGGTAATTATCCCTGTTCTTCCTTTGCGCCTTAAGCAGGCAAGAACTGTTCCTTCAAGAAAGGGGTAAAATTGAGTATTTTTTGGGTATATGCAGCCTCAGGTTCAAGAGGGTAAGTGACTTCTAGTCAGGCAAGTTAAAAGCTTTTTGTATAAGGAAAGCTAGTGCTGCAGTTTGTTTCATGGTAGACTTTCATGGACTTTCTTTTTGCCCTTTTTGAGGGGGGAGCAAGAGAGAGAAAGGAAATTATGTTCTGTTGGCACTGTGATCTTTGTTTAGCCACTGATCAAAATGGAGCATTATAGTTAATAAAGATACACAGCATTTACTAACAATTTTTTAAAACTTCAAAATAATGTCCTTTAAATTATTTCAAAAGAATTATTACAGCTGTTCTCCAGTTTGTTTCCTAGTGTTTTTTATTGTCTTGTATTAATTTTTTGTATTTAGATTGTGTTGGTTTACTTTTTTTTTTCCTTTTTTGCTTTTGTTTCAGTTCCAGAGATAGTCAGGGAGACCCAAGATCTGATTGAGCGAGGGGAACTTCTGCAAGCTCATCGAAAACTGATGGATTTAGAGTGTTCTCGTGATAACCTGATGTATGAGCAGTATCGCATGGACAGCAAAAACACACATGACATGAACCTCATTCATACATACTTTGGGGATATGCAGAAACTTTCTGAGGAGTTGGCAAAGCAACTTTGGATGGTGGTTCAAAGATCGCTTGTAACAGTCCGTCGAGATCCAACCTTGCTTGTTTCTGTTGTTAGGATAATTGAGAGGGAGGAGAAAATTGACAGGCGCATGTTAGACCGGAAAAAACAAACTGGATTCATACCTCCTGGCAGACCAAAGAAGTGGAAAGAAAAGATGTTTAACATTTTGGAAAGAACTGTGAGCACACGAATTGAAGGCACTCAAGCAGATACTAGAGAATCTGACAAAATGTGGCTTGTGCGTCATCTAGAAATCATACGTAAATACGTCCTTGACGACCTGCTGGTGGCTAAAACCCTGCTGGATCAATGTTTTCCTCCCCATTATGACATTTTCAACAAATTGTTAAACATGTACCATCAGGCTTTGTCCACCCGCATGCAAGAGCTTGCTGCAGAGGATCTGGAAGCAAATGAGATTGTTAGCCTTCTAACCTGGGTTTTAAATACATACAAAAGGTAAGGTCCCCTCATCTCTTCTGTTAGCAGTAGTTGAGACTAAGTATGCAAACACAGTTTATGTGCTAATATTTGTATGTCTATTAATACATAATAAGAAAAAACAAAAGAGAAATAATAAAGAACTTGCTGGCTTTATATTTGTTATGCATTTTACTTTTTGGGAATTGCTCCTTAAAATTAGTTTGGATTTTCTAATGTGTGATATTTTTTTTAAGTAGCTTTGTAAGCTTGAAGTTTTAATGCAGTTACAGACCTGCGTGAAGCTACAGTCACCTTTTACTTGTTTGCCAGTTTGGTGGAGTATTGGGAAGAGTAGAAGAGACTGAGTTCACGTGTGTGAAACAAAATGTTTGGTTCTGGCCACAGCCCCAGAAAATTTGTATGGGTATTAACTTTCTATTGTTCTTTTTTGCAGGGGTTGGGACTGTTTCAGTGTTGCCTCATTAGTGTTAAATGGAAAGAATGTAGTAACTTCCTCCAGGCTTTTTCTCAGAACTGTGTGGTGATTTGTTTTTTTAGAAGAATTTCTGCTTACAGCTTGTCTCCTGTGATACTCTTAAACTCTTTTCAGTTGTGTAATTTGTTGGGATAACTTAAGTATTACGTTGTTGTCTTCCTCCCCCCCCATCCTCCAGGTAGCAACAGCTCAAATGGTAACTGCTTAGTTTTTGCTGGCATGTAGTTACTAGAGCAACTGATTTGTTTGGGAAAAAGTAATGCTAGTCTTTCTGTGGCTCATGACTGTAACCCTGTTCTCAATAGCTGGCATTGACCCAGAGTCTGCCCTGTGTAAACTTTCGCTGTCTTCAGTTGTTCAGTCTCACTAATTCAGCAAATGGGACGCTTGATAGGTTTAGAGTAGAATACCCTAAAGCAAATAGGTAGGAGATAGTACTGTTCTGTAGAATTTTTATAACCAGCTTTAAGATTCATCTTGCATTCAGAACTCTGTTCTTTGCTCTACACAGTGAAGTTCTCCTGCTTTTCTTCCCTGCAAACAGCAATCAGGAGCACCCACTAATGCATACTTACATACCTGTGCAGGATATATGAGAGATACAGCTACTAATAAGGAACTGAGTTCATTGGTCGTTTCTTCTTTGTTAATAGAAGGCCAGAGGAATAACTCCACAGTGAATGAAAGTCAGAAATACGTGAATCGCTGTACCTGTAGGGGCATGGGCTCGGCAGAAATCCTACTCCCAGGTTCTTCATTTGTGTCCTGGGGCTGATGTTCCAGTAAAGCAATTCTTGGACTTAGAATTGCCCTTCTACCCTTCCCCCAGAAAGCAGAGCAGATTGCTATTGAGTTAGACAATTCAGAGCTAGAGCTCTCTCAATCCGTATCTTCTATCATAGGAAGGGCAAAGGGAGGGAGCAAAGCCAGCGTGGTGTCTATTTACAGAGCAAACAAATGATAAAGGGATCACTCCTGCTAAAGCAAGTTATGTGGCTCATAGAACCTGATGGCAGAATCTGTAAAGGAAGTGAAACAGCAAGAGGAGTGGACGTGGTACAAGATACCTGAGAATGCACTTCTCCCATGTAAATCCATGTAACAGGAGTGATGGAAATTAGAGGAAATATCTCGGGAAAGAAATTAAGGCTTTGAATTTCTCTCTTCTCTAAAAAAAAAAAAAAAGTGTATGTTTGCAGCGGAGAGTGGAAGAAGAAATTGGCTCAGGCTTGTGAATGGGGAAAGTGAAGTGCTCAAGCAGGATACTTGCAGAGCTTACCCAATCTCAGTCGCTGGATATCAACAATACAATAAGCAATTCTCTATAGGGTTATGTTTATAATAAACTGTGAAGGAGGATGCCCTATATGACATCAGGAGTACTGTGTTTCTGTGGCATTTCACCTTCTTTTCCCTGTGTGAAAAACAGGTTCTAAACTGCTATTATGTTCTTTGTTTGCTTGTGTGGAACATTGTGGTGGAAGATAGTGTTGTCCTTTTCTAATCTTTCTCTGCTTTTATTCAATGTAATTGAACATTTTCCTGTAAGTTTCCTGAATGTAATTTTCCCTATGCAAGAGGGAACGTATAAACTTGTACTTGCATATTACAGCTGCACTTCAAACCCAGCTGAGAAAATATTAACCAATTAAGAGAAGCGTTAAAGTTTTTTTTCCATGAAATGAACTGATAAGAATGCCGTGCATAACTTCTGTTTACAATATTTGCAAGATAGGAGTTTTAAAATAATCATGGTGTTCTTTACCAGAGCACGTCTTGGAAGCTGTTTTTAGAACTGTATTCAAGTCATAGTTGAGAAATAAAGTGATGCTCCATGTGGAATAATACCCTTTAGTATTTGAGTGAGATGCAGTTTTACTGTACTAGATGTATTTCTTTTTCATATTTAAGTCAATGAGAGCTTTGGAAACATACTGCTATTGCTAGATCTGTACCAGGTTGGGACTAGTCTGTGTTTTAGGGAAAATACAAGTCTTGTAAGATCCTGAAGCCCGCGTTCATAACATTTTATCAGATATTGATCAGGTGTTGGCAGAACTGCTGAGAGCTCACCAACATTGCTACAGACAGTGTCAACAATCTTCACTCTTAAGGCACAGAGGAATGGTACTATGTATCTGGCTGGATGCTGTCTCTGGATTGAGTACCTCTTTTTACAAGACAGAGCAGGATTAGTGGCAAGCCTGGCACAGGAGGCAGAAAAGCAGCTTTCTAAAGTGTTAGTTTCCAGATAATACAATTCTAGTTGAAATTTCAATTTGATGATAAACTTTTTTTTTTTTGAAGCGAAATAATTATTCCCTACAGTTAGAAGCCTCCTGATGCTTCTAAGAGAGTTGTCTATCAGTTCCTTCCCCCTAGATGCTTGGGTTGTGGCACACAGGAATGAGAACTTGCGTATAGGAAGAATTTTTGTCTTTGGGGGCTAGAGGTAGGAGCCTGTGGTCTTTGTTTTGGGGTTTCATTAGATAAGCTTTGAGAAAGATTATATGTCTCTGCGGCCTTGTGAAGCAGGGATAATGATTGTCTAATGAGGCTAGAAATATTTTCAAATATGGCACATAAACAGCTTCTCACATTTCCCCTAAATAATCCTAGGGCAGGTCCTACTATTACATTTATTCTTTATGTAAACAACAACAGACTGGAATTAATTTTTCTGAGTAGCTTGAGCCACTTAAAATATCTTCACTCTCTTCCTACGGGCTGAGGAAGATGCTGCAAATGTAAAGTGTTCAGTTACAGTAGCTTTTATGGTTTCAAAGACACAAATTTTGGTTTTTAAGTAGTCAGCCATAGTATGGGTTTTTCAGTGCTTTGAGATTTTTTTCATGCTGTGGAAGCACCACTATGCTGCTTTACTACATGTACCCAAAGAACAACTTTAACTTGCAGAAATACACAAACTAAACACTTGTTTAGGAAATTTATTTTTGGTTTGCTATTTGTTTTTTATAGTTGCCACTGCAAATATAGAATGTGTGGCTTCCTTCTGAAAAGCACACTAGAAATGGAATATGAAACAATTTATGTTATGATTTAATATATTTCCATCAACTGTTAATAAAGCACTCTCTGAAGAGTGTGGGTTTGAGTTATTGATTTTTTTTGAGCATGAAATATTAACAGTTCTTGCTATGTTGTGCTTTGGCACAGCTTTGGGTATTGTGTTTTAGTTACACAAGCAACTCATTATGTAACTTATAGATGCAAAATATCACTGTAATGTATTAATTTCGTATAATCCTTGTAAAAATATCTTTGAAGGTTGCTCTAGTTTCTTTTTAATCCTATAAAATAAAGAATTTTCCTTTGCAAGCAACTATAGCTAGTGGTGCTGTTACAATACAGTAGCCATGAAGTACAGTTTTGATTTGACATGCAAGATTCCTCCTCCTCTTGCATTAGCTGTATTCTCTACCAGTACAGGAAGCATTGGTAGATTTTCTTTTAGTATCTTTTAGCTTTGATATGGATGTGATACAAGTAGCAAAACAGAAGCTCTGTTGAGAAACTGAGGAGACTGTTTCATACTTTTCACTGATCTTTCCCATTCTGAAATTCAGAATGTGTAGGTTGTCTGTTATCACCTCTGAAGTTTAAAAAACATATAAAAATATCCCCTATTAAGAGCCCAAAGGTTGAACTAGTTGGCTTTTATTCAGTCTTAAGCAATTGCTGATTCTTGTACATAAAAGTTAGAAACCCATGAAAGAGTTGAATATTTAAAATGTCTGCAACATTTTTTTTAATATGTGCTGGGCTATAGCTTTTACATCCTGTTCTTTCTTTTATGTAGTTTTATTCACATCCCTTCTAAATGCATTTATTGTTGCAGTTACTATTAAGGAGTTTTTGAAATGTGTATGTACTGGAAAATTGCTCCTTACAGTGGTCACACCAGAAAAGCTGTATAGTTTTTAACTTTTAATATCTTTTTTTCTTTATTAATCTGCAGTGTCTTTTTTTTTTTAAACTCAGTGCAGAGATGATGGGAAATTCAGAACTGTCTCCCGAAGTGGATGTAAATTCTCTGAATCCTCTGCTTTCACAAAACGTGGTAGACCAGCTTCTTAGCAAGTATATGTCAACACTTACTGTGAGTAATAAGAATGCAAAGACACCTTCAGATAAGTTTATAGCTGCATTAGTGCCTCAGTGCTGTTCCTCCATCAGAGGAAATGAATGTCACAAATGCAAATTCGGTATCATTACTTTTTATAAATTTTCATACACTGTGTGTAGGTTTGTTCATAAAGTTATAATCGGATTATTTTATAGATGTAAATCATGATATTTCAGGGAATAATTTTGCTTTACAGACTTAATCATAATTATTAATCATATTCTGGTAGAAGGGAAGGAATTACAGTGTTCATATGTCTAAATTTATAGTGCTGGTACATTAGGTATTACTATACCTACAAGCCACTGAATGCATCTTGGTCCCTATAGTAGCTACATCAACATTTTATACAGATGTGATCTTTTCAAGGCAATCAGGATGTTCATGTTTGCCAGTTTGATTCTTTTAACAGTCTTTTTCCTTTCATGCCTGTCGATTGCATGAGCAGAATTTCCTTTCGTAGATGCTATTTCAGGTGCATCTTAAATGTAAAGACACTGCTTCTTGGTTATCCTAAGAGTCACTGGAAATTGGTAACTACACGGCAAAGGAATCAGTATGTGATTGTCAGGTTTTTAAATGTATTTTTCTTTAAAGATCCACTGTTGGTTGCCTCTGAGACTAGCTATTGGGATAGCTGGAACTTTGGAATTGGTGTTCTTACATTGTTCAGTTGAATTCCTACTCCTCCTAAGTTTAGGAACTCTGCCATGCAGAGGAGGGAAAATTTTGGCCTCTTTGGATGTGTCAGCTGTTAAAATATGTCCAGCAACAGCAACTGCTTGGACTTGATACTCATCACGATAATACAAATCGATCTTACGTCTCAGGGAAGTTGCCAGTGGAAGCTCTGCTTCACATTAACTTTACTAGGACTTTTATGCAAGTTTATTTTTCTGCACTTACCTTTAGGACAAGAAAACATTGGTTTATTTTCTCTAGCTACTTTTGGCTTGGCTCAGGAAATACCTTTGAATTAATTTTGTCCTCTATTAAGATGCAAAAATATACCTGTGTTGGTTTTTCAGAAATGTTTTTCCCTGCTTACTGAAAAACATTATAAATAGAACATTGCTTTTTTTATTTTCTATAAATATTTATATTTATAATATATTGTGTTATTCTGTTAAACACAGAGTGGTTTTCTTTTGCTGGTTTTGATTTTGTCTGTATCTACTTTTTAAGGCAGAAAATACTGAAAATGCCTGTTTGTTTCACAGGATTCAACCTGATCTAATTTTCTATGCCTCCCTACTTACACTTCTACTTTATTTCTTTTGATGTTGTGTTTAAAACTATTTATAAACTAAATACAACTAGTTCTCTTTGGGTAAATGAAAGTGTTTCCTGATTGCGACTATCAACTTAAATATTGATGTTTAAGTCAATAAAATGTCTCATTTTCATGAGACATAAAATGCTAATAGGTTTTTAACAGATTTGTGATAGATATGTTTTTCCAAACACCTCAGCTTGAAAACACATTCTTGTAAATGATGATCTCAAGGTGAAAAACATTGATGTCTACTGGGCTGCTGGCTTAAAAGATTAATTCTTCTTTGCAAACCATATCTCATCAGAGTAGTTCCATGCTTATGAAGAAAAGACAGTATATCGTTTCACATAATTGAAGATAGTACTATATATACTTAGCAAGTACAGCACTTGACAGGCCACCCACTGGCTAGTCAAAAAGAGAAGTAAACTCCAGGTCTGTGTTTGGTTGACAGCCTTTCTTGTGCAGGAAGATTGTAGAGCTTTCAGTTTCTTCCTTTATCCTATCTGCTGATAGGACTTTGACCAAAAGCTACTGATTTAATACATTAAAAAATGTAAACATAATAAAAAAGTACCTATTTTAGACTTTTTTCCCCTTTTTGTACATGCCTACTGGTTGTGTTTAATTTTGCATGGTAAGGCACACTAATACATGTTGGAAAGAAGTATGAACCTTTATATTACTAGGGCTTTTATCTAAGTGTGAACCAAGTAGAAGAGAGGCAGAAACTTTCTGCCCTTTGAAAACATAGGGATAATTATTTTAGATAGACAGAAATCAAAGAATCCAATTACATATTTAGCAAACATGCTGGTCTTTACTACCTACTCTTGCAAATTACTCCATAATATCTGTGACAAGCAAGTGATGAGAAAACTGGCTTAAGCTAGTTCTAAAAGCAATTGTTCTTAGTGTTTGTTTGCTGTATAATGTGCTTGTCGGGTGGGAGGAGGGCCAACTGTTGTATCTCTATCACTGTTTTCTGCAGCACTTAAGTTCCAAGAAACACAACTCAATCTAATCTGGGTTTTTATCCCCAGCAGTAACAAGCATCAGTTTCCTAAAATGTAGGTAAAAAAAACTACAAGCAGATATGTACTAATTTGCCTGTATTAAGTATTGCCCTATTTTTTTCAGTTGTTGAAAAATTCAGTTTGAAACCTGAAGCCTGAGGCTTGATAAATGCTTCCAAAGTTAGTCAACTAAAAAACATTGATTCTGACAAAGTGACTTGCTCTTTGTGTTTGGAGCACTCCCCTTCCAAAATGTGCCTAGGCTTGATTCAAACTACATCACTATATTACCAATACTAACCTTTGTCAATGCAAATTTTGTCTAAGTTACCTATATCTTGTAGGGATGACAAGAGTGGTCAACATTATCTGTTACTACTCCACTCTTCATTCTGGAAATGGCTGGTATTCCAAATATTATAGTGGGGTTGTTTGTTGTCTTAAATTAAAAAATCTTTTCTTTTTCTTGGTTGCTTTATTTAATATAGTCCAACATCATCGGCTGGCTACGAAAGGCGCTGGAGACAGACAAAAAAGACTGGATAAAAGAAACTGAACCAGAAGCAGATCAAGATGGGTACTATCAGACTACGCTCCCAGCTATTGTTTTCCAGGTACAAGAGAACTTGGTTATTCTAGAAAATCTACAGAAGCAGTACATGCATTTGGGAGAGTGGAGGGGTGGGGTGGGGGAACCAAACTGTTTGGAATGCCATTGTTTCTATGTCTATTGAAGTATAGTGTTTTTTTCCTGTAGAGCTGTTAGTTGGAAGGGTTGTTTCTTTTGAGGTTTTTGTTTGCCTTTTTCACTTTAACACTTAGACTTAGTTCTTTTTATGTGTAGATTAGAAACATTTTCCCCAGCCTACTTAGTTAACTGCTTTTACTTAGGTCTCTTCCTGTAAATTTGTAGTGTCAGCCTACCAGATGAGATGTTTGAAAGTTATTATAATATTGTTTGTTAATATGGTACTGAGGTAGTTAGGCATGTATTTGTTCCAATAAATTATTCACTGTACAAACAACTTAATACTGGAAAGAAAAGTTCTGTTGAAGATCCAAAAATGTTGCTGTTTAAACACTACTTCTGTTAACATTAATGCCTGTTCAAATTATTAAATGGCTTTAAAAGAGAAAAGATAAGGCTATTTCTAAGATGTAAAAAAAAAAAGCCACAAAAAAAGCCAAACCCAACCTGCACCACCCTGTTGTTGGTAGTAGAAATGGAAAGTTTTTAAAGTGATCTTTATCAACCAGAAAAAGGTCAGCTTACTACGCTCATTTTAAAATTTTTCTTTACAAATGTTGTGTTAGGTACCTGCAATTAAAGATAGATGGTCTCTTCTTCCTGCATTTGTTTCACACTTTATTTTTTTCCTGTCTTATACCAGGACTTTTGCTACATTCTTTCACATTTGTATTTTTGCCAAGGTTGACTTCATCTAATCCTTTTTGGAAAGTGTGTGATGTGAAAGAAACTGGTGGCCGATTTGCTCTAGTGTCATGCTGTCAAAGGCTGCAGTGTTGAGATTTGTACAACAGTGAAACTTTCAAAATCATCTCAGCATAAAAGCAGCTCATGTTTCCACCTGGCTTTGTACCCGTCCTTTCCAGTCCCCTTCCTCTCAAACACAGCTCCCTCTAGGTCACCTAGATCTTGTGCCTAGTTGTGTTTCTAAAGTTGAGCTGTTCCTTCTACTTCACTAATGTGAACTTATTACTTTCATATATGGGGAAAGCAAAGGAATTTGAGTTATAAGGTTATTCATTATTAGCTGCAGGACCTGACCCAAGAACTTTGATCCACTGTAAAGCAGAATTCCTACTGAATTAGAAATATTAAGTACTTTTTTTCTGAAGAAGAATGCAACTGTTTTCAATATCAGGAGAAAACTACAGCATACATTAACAGTTGTCAATAATTTATTAATTACACTTATGGAAATAGTGATTTTTGGTTCAGTCAGCAGCAATTATTTGGGCTTTTAAAAAAAAAAAAAAAAAAAAAAAACCAAAAAGTAACCAAAAAGCAAATATAGAGCCGGTGCTAGTGAGTCTCCAACAAAATAGTTCTGTCTTTGCTTTACCACTGGTAAAGACCTGTCTTTATAACTAAACTATTTTTAACTTAGATGTTTGAGCAGAATCTTCAGGTGGCTGCTCAGATAAATGAAGATTTGAAAACAAAGGTACTCCTTCTATGTCTTCAACAAATGAATTCATTTCTAACCAGGTAACATAATTTTTTAAATATAAATGCTCTATCCTGCCTCAGCCTCTCCTTGTTCTTACAATTCCAGTACTTGTTTTTCTTACGAATGTTTCTTTATTGCTTTGTCTTTCTCCTATCACATCTGTGCCAACCCAGCTTTTTGTCCCTTTCCTTTTCTCGCTTTCTTCCTCCCTTCCCCAGTTTCACTGCAGAAGTTCTGTGCTGGTGAGTGGCACTTTCAGTTCCTCTCTGCAAATAGCTCTAATTTTTGGAGTCAGTTCTGCTTTCTTTTATATCTCATATTGATATCCCTTTCTCATAAGGGAGATAGAAAACACCTCCTTGGCTGAATTCTGCCCAGAATAGAGAGACCAAACATCACATGAGCAACAAGCCCTTTATAAAGTACTTCTGAATACCTGGCAGGCCTTTATGGAGCGTTTGGTCCTACAGGTGTACTGATTTCTGTCTGTTTAATCCCATTGATTGTATATGTTACAGGTACAAAGATGAAGCACAGTTGTATAAAGAAGAACATCTTAAAAATCGTCAGTATCCTCAATGCTATGTTCAATACATGATTGCAGTCATCAACAACTGTCAAACCTTTAAGTAAGTCTGCATGTTCTTGCAATATTGTGAGAAAAATAAGTATTCATATTTAATTTGTAATACTACATGTTCCTAGGACCTGCTCTTCTTTTGTATACAAAGAGTGTTTCACTTAAGATGGTTTACTTGACTAAACAAAGACAACAGGTTTAAATATATTACTGTTTTAGGAGGCAGATACTGTGATTGCTCTTGCCTTTGGCAAGGCAAGGCACTGCCCCTCACCAGCAAAAATCCACTTGTTATTCCAAGAATTTCATTGCCAAAGAACAACTTCCAAAATTTCAAAAGGTCATTTCAGTTAGTTTCTCTGGGGCCTGCCATTTTCTCTTACATTTCATCTCTCTCAGTTCACCTTTAAGCAGTGTGATCAAGGTGAACTGAACTGGACAAAAGTAAAGGTACAGCTTGCTCTACAAAGAATGTGAAAACAAGAAAGAAGCCCTCATTGCTCATGTTTCAGTGTTCAGCAGTCCAACCCCATGTTCATCTATATCTGCCATTCTCAAGCTTACAAATCAGCAGTAGTTTGTTACCAATATACAAGTAGTCTAGGTTGACCACTCTAAAATAACGCTGGAGGGTAAAGTACGGCTTCCAAAGCAAGCAGCAGAGATATTATTTGCCCTTGCAAAAATAAGACTATATCTAGTAGTCTTTTTCCATGTGTGCACTCCGAAAATTTAGTAGCAATGCAATTGTGCGTCAGTGGATGATGAAAAGCGTTGTTATTTGTCACAGAGAATCTATAATCAGTCTGAAAAGAAAGTACTTGAAAATTGAAATGGAAGACACGTCAAGCAGTCATACAAGCATGGATGCAACTTTAGACATCATTGCCAAAGAAGGATGCTTTAGCCTGCTAGATGAAGTCTTCATGGATTTAGAGGTTAGAGTTTTTTTCCTCAAAAAAAACAGAAGTGGTATTTTGTAAGGAAAAATCATTCAGGAATGAAGTAGTTATGAAGCCTTTTGACTGCTAAACATATTTTACATCTGGTGTGCTAGCAAAATGCCAGTAAAAGTCAGTATTGTTCTTCACTGGTATAATTTGCATGTAGGAGACTGAAAGGTTGCTTAATTATATTTCACAGGATGGCTTCAGGCAGGTGCTGTGTATATTGTGAATATTTTCTAGCAGATAGTCTTATGTAGTTGTGTTTTAAGAATTACTTGGGAAGCTTCTGCTGATATTACCATCTTTATACAGGTGGAGTACTCCTGTAATTAAGACAGTTAATTGACTCTAAAGGTGGGCGCTTTCTGACTGATAAATTTTCATATTTAAGAATTCTAGCTGCTTGTATAGAATCAGGGAAAAACAAAAATCTTTTAACAGCTAAAAAGATATTAGGAGTATGGGGGGTGGAGGTGAAGAGAGATGCCCTGGGACTTGTTATGTTTGTAATAATATTTTGAACTAATGTAAACACCTTGAATGATTCACAAGAAGAAAAATGTGGGAGAAGTGTTTGTTTTAAACTTGGAGCTCCTAAAGAAAATCTTTATTTCTTATTAACTATGCTCACTGGTTTTGAGAAGACACTCCATCTGGTCTAATGACTGTTCTTTGAAATTCATTAACCTCAAGCTTCATGTCACTATTATAATTTATAAAATACTATGCTCTAATATGTAAATAATTTTTCCTCTGGGGAGAATAAAGCAAGATGGGTATGTAGATGTAGAGAGTACTGGAATTATGTATTGTGGGGTTCTGGTAAAGGAGTAAAGCGTACAGGCCACTAAGTTTGGTACAGGCACAGGAAATTTGTGGGGCCATCAAAGAGGAACAACTGAATAGCCAGTAGCAGTTCAAGAAATCAAGCATGAAGTTGCATTATCACAACAGTTTAATAGTGGAATTGTCAGCTCGCAATCCAATTTTGTCCTTGGACCTTAATTTTTTTACTTAGCATAAACATTTAAATAGAGAAACGTAATAAAGAATTTTAGAGAACTCTGATGAAACAAATGCTTAGGTTAGTGCAGTTGGTTTACATACGCATCCACTGTGTATGTCAGGGTAGCGCTCCATGGCAGCTGTCATTCCAACAATTGATCATGTCATTTTCCTACACTTCTTTTGAAGTAGTGTAGTTTAGAAGGGTATGACACTTAAAATTGCCTGCTATTTTTTTGTAACTGAACTGATCTGATGGAAGTGTCAAAAATTTGTTCTGATCAATTGTTTTTTACCTTCTTAGCCACATCTCAATGAGCTGATGACAAAGAAGTGGTTGATGGGGTCTAATGCAGTGGGGACTATCTGTGTCACTGTAGAGGATTATTTCAATGACTTTGCAAAAATAAAAAAGCCTTATAAAAAGGTAGGTGCAAAATATTCTATGATAGTTTGCTAATGTACTCTCTTATATCTCCGAATCTCTCTTATCTTTTTTGTTCACAGCCATATAGTATTGTCAAAGACAGATCAGAGTTGCAGCATTTAGTCCAGAAAATGTATTGGTGTGTTACTAGATTGTATTCTTATGACCTTTTACTTTTCTACCTCTCCTCAGAAGTTTGTAGTCAGATAAAATTAGCTCTTCTGAAACTAGTGATGCTGGCCTGTAATTACTTTTTTTATAAAAGCACATTCTGTAATTCCTAGTTTTAATATGTACAAGGAGTCATAGTTCAGTTGGTGCCATAAGGTTTAACAAATGCATAACTCGGGTTTAAAGTGCTGTTACAGCAGCATATGGTGCGAGATTACGTTGTCTTAAATTTATTTTTTCCCCTGCAGTCTGTCAAAGGATATCTGGATTTCTCTATTATCCTTTAATCTTTAGTGTTATTGTACCTGGTTTTATCCTTTATTGAATTAGTCGGTTTTGTATAGTTAAGTAACATGTCTTAAATGATTCCCTAAGATTTAGGAAATATTTGAAGCTAGCAAGATCAAGATTTAGGTGAGGTCTTTGAACAAACTCTTACTAAGTAGAAATGCTTAAAAGACAGTCTCAAAATCATACATTTACTCTTTCTTCCCTTAACTCTTAAAGAGATAAGAGGGGACTGCTCAAAGTTCCTCTGATGACCTCTTAACCTTCAGTGTTTGCAGAACCTAGAGGCCTGGTTATGTAAGTAAATAATACGTATTTTCAGTCAAGAAAAAGTATACAAAAGAAGTTAGGTTGGTCCTAGAATTAGTCTATATCCATGGAACAGCTTTCTTCTCCAGATTCGGTTTGTTACTGTGAGGTAGTAGGGCTTGGCATAAGTTTCTTGAAGTGTTAATGCCAGTCTCTGCAATCACGTGTGTTTCATCATGTAGCATTTATTGCCACCTGATGGGGAAGAAGATGACAAACACATTTTCTGGCATTCATCACACCTGCTATTCTACTGTCTCCCAGCACAGAAAAAATCTGCCACACAAGGCACCGTATGTTCTAGCACTGGATGGGACATGCTTTTGTTTCCCTAGGGTCTTTTTTTTTCTGGTTTTAAAATATTCTTGGATAATCCAGTTTTTAAAAGCCACACAGATGGAGCACATACAAAAAGCCTATAGCCCAGCGGGAAGGACGCTGTTTTGGAACAGGGAGGGTCTGGATCTTGCCGTCGTTCTGCTTTGCCATTTTCCTCACGTGTAACATGAATGCCCTGTCATGGATGGCTCTTCTTGAGTGCTCTTTTTCTCAGTTGTAGTAGAACTGTTCTTCTTCACTTACTTTTCAGTGGGATGGGGCATACATGTCCATCTCCCACAGTCTGTTCTATGGAGTTAATTTTCCTCTGTGTAATTAGCATCAATTCCACCAATGCAAGAGAAGCTATTCCTGAACAACCAGTAAACTGGAGGAGGTTGCCTATATGTGGTATTTCTGCTGAGTCTTGGAGTAGGATTTGAAATCGTATTTTTTGTGTCCTGGATGAGGGCTGTGACTTCCAGTACTTTGCAATCTGTTGTTTTCTCTCTTCTTTTTTTTTCTTTTCTCTCTTTCCTGAAACCTTTCTACAAAATTCTGACTGCAGCTGGAAGCACACATTGGCTGAAACTAAAGCTTGACATACAATAATAAAATAGGATAAAAAGTTTGTGACTACCTGATATGCAGGCTTTTTCTTAATCATAAGTAACTTTGCCACCGTGCTTGAGGGGGGGGGAAAAACCCACCTAAGGCCTTGTGGATTTAAGGATTCTCCTCACATTAGAGTTGAAAAAACATGTAAAGGTTTTTTTGTGTTTTGTGGGGTTTTTTTGTTGTTGTTGGTTTTTATTTGCAAACCTCAGCATTACTCTTGCACCAATACCAGATGCTGACTTAGTCACCAGTAGCTATTTCCTATTGTTACTGGAAAGCGGCAAAACAATTCACTCTCTAAAACTGAAGTTTGGAGTTTTAGAAAGCAGGCGTTCTTTACTGCAGCACTGGACGCACAGGGGGTAGCTCCGCCCAAAATGTGAGTGCCGAAAAGACACAATTATTAGGTATTCGTGCTATGTTAATGTACATATTCATTACATTCCTGAAAAACGTTTATCATATTCATGGTTTTTCCAAGAACTCATTAGAATATGTTAATGTCTTTCGTGCATGTCTGTTGGCACTGTCAGGTGGTCCTTGGAGGTCTTAGATGAAGGCTTATACTCTTCATCACGGTGTCCGCTGGCTGACCTTTGCTTCTGCACAAGGTCAGTTCTCACGTATACCATGTCCTTCAGGGTTGCTTCCTTACGGTCTTATGGTCACTTTGTAGCCTCCTTATCTTCATGGTCCTGCGCATCTGCTCTCCCAAGGCTGAGCTAAGAGGGATTATTTGGGAGTCTCTTACCTTACAACCTTCCCAATTATTCACAGAGAACCAAGACATGCTTTGGTTTTAATTAATCTGTTGTGCAATGATTCTGAGACCTGAGGGGATAACTTTTATCTGCATCCGCTACATCTGCTACATTCGCTGCATTCACAGGTATCACTATAAAAAGACAAGTGGAGAACAGCAGAGCAGTCAAGGAAGATGTGAGAAGGTGATTGCTGCTGGCTCTCCCCGCTTCCTACCAGACTTGACCCAGAGCACAGTTAATGTAGGCAAGCTTTGCAATGCTTTATGCAACGTACTGGAGTTCTCTAGCAGAAGCCTCTGTGACGGCTGGTCGTTCCTTGACCAGATATAAAGAGCAAGTGTGGAAGGCCAAGCACAGATCTGTTCCAGGGGTCATCCAAACTATTTCATGTTTGTTCTTCTATCTTTGGATATGCCTGTGTTCCTCAAAAATAATTCAGACATGTCATTAGAGGTATCTTCGTTTCGTTGTTTCTCTTTCTTGTAATTGGCACATCCTTTTCATTAGGGAAGGACAGATTTTCATTTCTGTTCACACTGTGAAAATCTAAAGCGACTTAGAATGTGTAGTATTAGCAAGAAACACGTGTACCGGTGATGAAGTGCAGATACATATTTCAAAGCCTAATAATTGTTCAAAGACTAAAAATAATGGCTGTGCTTGCAGGTATCACTGGCATAATCCACTACATTTTTCTTTTCTTTCAGACAATGACTGTGGAGGCCCATCGGAGAGTAGTTGTGGAATACATCAGAGCAATCATGTTAAAACGTATATCTTTCAAGAATGCAGAAGAGAGAAAAGAGGGTGCAGAAAGAATGATCAAAGAAGCAGAACAGTTCAGATTTCTGTTTAAGAAGCTTGCGGCTGTAAGTATTTGCTTTGGGTAATGCTGTTAACCTGGTAATTTAAAGTAAAATATACAGGTTTACTGCTTGGGGAAAATGGCGACAGTTAGGTCTCTGTGTCTCCAACGTGTTGGGTGACTTGTGAATATCAAAGATGGCAGCTGAGGGCACAGACAGAGTTTCTGAACACACACAGGCCTGCTGAGAAAGTTCCTGAGCACTGGTTTCTACTGTTTTGTGTTCATACAGCTGTCTTGCAGCTGAATATTTGAATGGCTTCACAAAGATAGGTACCCTGAATTTGTAACAGTAAATGAAAGAAAAGCAGTTGTTTGTTAAAAAAACTACTGGGCTTTGCTTTCCCTGGCTGGAAGAAAGGGCAGTATTGCATCAAAGAGACGCAGTTACTTACTGTGTAAGTAACGTGCAGTGTATTCATTTAGAATCAACAAGAGAAGTGTGTTGACCTCATTTAAAGCACAATAGAAATGGAAAAGCGGGGCCACAAAAAGTGTTTGAGAAAAAATGCACAAGATAGGCCTAAAATGAATACTAAATATTTTCTTAACTGCAAAAAGAGTAGGAAACTGCTGGAAAGCTCCTAGGGCCAACAGATGGCAAAATGCAAAAAGAATGCAGAGAAAGATACAGCCTGAAAAACCAGGGGGTGGGGATGGGGTGACATTCATCTCTGCTTGCTGTGGAAGATGTTGGGTCCACTCCTGAGTCAGAGTCCTTCATTATGTGCAATTCTGTGTAAGATCTGTTTCAGATTAAGGTGTGGGTAGAAGAGCTTATGGTATAAACGAACAATACCAGATTGGCAGGACCAGGTGACCTGGAACTAAGAGCACTAAAACAGTCCAGAGATTAAATAGATATTACAGTTCAGCTGATCAGTCGCTGAAAGCTGCTTTGGTGGCCAGATGACTAGAAGGAAGCTAATGCAGAGCCAGTTTTTAAGAAACGTTTCAGAAGAGATCTGGCTTTCACATCAGTTATTCCTAACCTTTGTGCTGGCAAATTAGCAAAAGTTAAAGACTGGAATGCATCACCATGTGGGTAAATACAACGTATTGTTTGTAAGACATGACTTTCTTCACTGACACTCTGAGAGTAGGTCCCTGTATGAAGAACAACAGGGAAAGAGGGAAGAGGCTTATGGTGAAAATTCACAAATAGTTTCTTAATGTTTGAAAATTCAGATGTTTGGGGAATTCAAGAGTGTTGTCAGACAAAATATTAATTAAAGGATTATTTATAGATATTGAAGAGGGATTGCTTTTGTTTGGGGGATTTCTTTTTCTACTTTTCATCCTGCAGGGCTCTGGAGAGGACACTGAAGGACTCTGTGACATCATTGAAGCCATTGCAGAGGTTATCAAGCTAACTGATCCTTCGCTGCTCTATCTGGAAGTTTCAACTTTAGTCAGTAAATACCCAGATATCAGGTAATTCTCTTTCCCCTCAAAGTTAAAAGATAGGTAGATAACATCGTAGTTTCTTTGTAGTCTTGGGAAAATTTTAAAACCATGTGCACGTGTTGGTATTTCTCATGTGTTAGAATTTAGCCACTTTCTTATGAAAAATAATGCCAATACAAAAATGTGCATGACCTGGACTAGGAGGTACACATACTTAAGTACTCAGCAAAGGAATAATGAATATACTTCCATTCTGTGTTTTGGGAGGATAAAATATGTTTTCGAGTCCTAAGAGCAGGCAAAATAGTGCTTTATCTTGAGCTGGAAAAGCCAGTTGTAAGTGACTAGAGATCTGATTAACAATTAAAAGATCACACTGAAACTGAGTGACAGGATTGCCAACTAAGTGATACTTCTGACAAGATCTTACTCGTGCAAAGCTTCCTACTAATGCTGGTGTTACCATTTTTCTTTTTAAGGGACGACCATATTGCAGCTTTGCTGACAGTGAGAGGCGATGCCAGCAGAGATATGAAGCAGACCATCATAGAGACTTTGGACCAAGGTCCCAGCCAACCAAATCCAAACTATGTGCCAATTTTTAAAGAAATTACAGTTCCTACTCTAACTGTGCCAAAACTTCTTAAGTAACTGACAACTCTGTCTCCTTACTCCTTGGGGATCAACAGGCTTGAAATATTTAAGGGCAAATTTGTCAATGCTGTTTCGAGTAAAGCTCAATGTACACTGATACTTGCTAGGCATGTTTCTTTCTAAAGACTTGGATGTGAGGAAATGTAATCAGATTTCTGAAAGGAGACGGCTGTAAAGGTCATGTGTGAAGAATGAAGCTTGTAATGGCCAGGGGGCTTTTTACTGACCTATTTGTTACAGCCGTTTTTGCTGTCAGCAAATAAATTTTTCATGTGGAATATGTTTTCACGGTGCACTGCAGTGCCGTATAAAGATAGTTATACCCAAAACAACAGAGCTGTATTAGTGCTGCATATACTAACACACATCGCTTACAACACCTAAGCAGACTCCTTCTGAACGGTCTTTATATGGCACTGCGTTGAGCATATATTAACATCCTCAATCCACTTTTGCATTATACTTTGTGTATGTACTTACTTTGGTGTAAAATAGTTTATTGCAGAGGACTTAATTATGAAATCAGTTTCCTGACTAGGGGACTGAACAAAATGTCTACCGTGCAATTTGATTATAAGGTGTAAAGACACGAGGTACAATTTTTTTTCTTTCGTTGATTCACTAAAAACAGCACACAAAGCGCCACCTGTTCAATAAAATGTTAAACCATTGCTACCTGCAGCTATGTATTCTTTGCACCTTTATAGATTTACAGTAGATTTAAATCTTGTTTTGTTTGAAATGTGAATAAACTCAGGATTTAATAGTTTTCTGAAAACACAAGATACTGGTTTTTATTTCCCCAGTATTTTCAGTGTTATCTGTTCTAATTATAACATATTACTAGAAAATTGTGGACTTAAAAGACAGCGATAGCTGCCACGGGAAAAACGAGGACTGTGGCTTTCCTCGTGGACGGGGAAGTGTGTCCCAGAGGCTGGGGGCGGGTCAGCAGAGGAGCTCCAGGGAGGGGGGGGGGGCCCACGGGGGT